GCAAGAGGTAATGGCTCCTTCATATTGAAATATAACTTTTATAGAAAACAAAATGTTATTCCTTTTTTCTGGACCAGTTCACAGGACTAAAATGGAAAATTAAAGTCACTGAATTAAGCCTTTTGCAGTTACAAACATGAGATCACCTATTTCTCAGACCACAAAACACTTCTGAATATTTTACAATAACTGTAAGAGCTAAAACAAAGTAGCAACCTTTTTTAGCTGGAATTAGGCCCAGATAACAAGAAACCAAGGGAAATAGCAGAAATCTGTTACCTGAAATTCTGGCATGACACTAAGAAAGAACCTACTCCCTGCTTCTGAAGAAGGTAAACAGAAATACCCAACCCCAAACCAGGTAATTATCTCCACTCTTTCAATTCTTTACCCAAGCAGAACATTCCCCACTGTCATCCAAGTCTTGTGATCAGCTTAGTCCTGAATAAATGAGCAAAACATCATGGATATGATATATGGAAGGTTTCAATTCAAGCAAGTACCCTGCTTCCTCTCTTCAGTGCCCAGATGTGCAGCACGTCTGACACAGCAAAGGACAGCCCAAATCACAGAAGTCCTAACCTCCAGTTTTAAAGTTGAAAGCTTTAGAATACCATAGAAGATAAAACACAGATTAATGATGTGCTTTGTTTTCATTACTTTTAAATTTATGTCATTTAAGGAATTTTACACTTTTAAAATCAGTATAAAATCACTTCCATTCTTATCACAGCAACAGATGAAGTCCTGCAATTCTTACCTAAATAAAGAAACAATCTTTTGGGATTTTGCTTGAAATCATTACCTTTTTTTACTATAGCATACAAATTGAAATTATATTTGCCTTACAGTTGCAGCAACTCACATCAGATGAAAAATTTGAGAAAAGTTTCTGTTAACTCTCTTAATAAACAGATTGATAGAATTGGTTCTAAGTGTTGAAGCTTAAATGTACAATTTCTACCCTGAAGCTGACAGGCTGTTGACAGATGTGTCCTTGCGTTAGTTTCACTAATACAAACACTTCTGCTGACTCTTCATGCACTGCTTAGCTGTAGATGTTTTATGTGTGTGACAGTTCATGTGCAAGATCTTTTGCAATTTGCTTCAGTTTAGTTGAGCAGGCATTTTGCATCCAAAGGCAAAAGGAAGACAACTTCCACCTTTGATTACACATATGCAATGTGTACAAGTGCCGAAGTTGACTGCGACTGGCATGTGACTTGATTCTGTGATGCACTAGTGTAAAGCTATTTCTTTATTAAACTAGACAGGTACTCACAATTTTTTGTTGCTGCTGAATGGACGAATTTCAATCTCCACTTCCAAGCTCTACTAACACTTCCCGGTGCCCTCATGGAAACCACTGCTATGGCTTAGCACTCCGTGGAATCCTACCATGCTAGACTGCGGGACAGTCTATCAAAGTCAGTGTTGGGGAGCTCATTGCCACTGGGAGTTCAAGTGGCACAAAGCTCACAAAATAGGAAAATTAGGTATCTTTGCAAAGTATCAATTCCAAATGGGTGGCTTCCACAACTTTTTTGGGTACTGACAACCTATATCTCACAATTTTTCCTTGACACAGCTACACTTGATCACTAGTATATGTCACAGAAATGTACAGCACATAAAAACTACCAAAGGGAACAGAATGGAAAGCAATACTTTTACTTTGGAGTAATAGGAAGCCACCATCTATGTTTATTCAAGTGTTCACATAAAGGCAATGACTACGATAGACAGTAAATGAAAATGTAATGTAAACATATAACTTGTTATCTGAAAATTAAATGTGCCATCACTGAAAGCAATATTATCTGGATACTTATTATTACGTGATTAGCTGCCAGGTTATTTTTCAGCCTTTCACTTATACTATATTAGATAAAACATTGTAATAACTTCCTATAAAAGGTGCATTAAAGAATAAAATTATATTTAAAGCAGCAGTTCTAAAACATAGAGACATAATTTAATCATCTTAGTCATAGCCTCCATAATTTTTTTTCTTGAAATGTTAAATATATTTTCCAGTGGAAGAAGTACATAGATGATGAAAGTGCATTGCCTGAAGGACAAGGTATCATTTCATTGTAATCCTTAGAAAGAGACCAATTTTATTCTTACCCTTTTAGTTCCACTGATTGCATAAGGATCAACTTTTTTGATAAACTGTCATAAAAAGAAGTCTGTGAAACATATACATGAACACCCTTTTTACCTGCAATGTTTATAAATGCAGACAAAGACACACCCTGAAACAAGAACTATTAAAAAAGTGATGGGATATTCATCCATGCAAAAAATATTCATATACACACTCCATTTCCCTAAGGTAGTGAAAGATCAATCTTTCATTTCCGTTTTATTCTTTTATGTTCAGCTCTAGTAAATTCTGTTTTCCAGAGTGAGCTGTTTCACATGTTCTTCTGCACTGAACTTCATTGTTTTGAATGACATATCCGATCCCTTCTCCCTTTCCCTTTTTATAATTAGGCAATTAGGAGCTCTCCAGTCAGGAGGCACAAAAGGGGTACGCAAAGAATTAACAGACAAGGGCTTTAGCTGTTGTGGGCACTGTACAAAGAAAGAATGAAAAAACAGTCCCAGTGCCAAAAATATTTTAAAGTTGAGGAAACATCTTATTTTCACACTTAGTAGGATAATCCAAAAGCCAGCCTATATTTAAACTCAAGTATAACAACGATATGTTGCTATAACAACACAGTTCTACAGTTGAAAAAACGTCAACAAGGTTTACACTTTGTCAGCAGTGACACTGTGTGTATGCTAACTTTCAGGAAGAACTTTTGAGTGTGACAAAAGGTACAAAAGAAGAAATCACTGTCCACTCTCTCCTGTGCTTCCAAGATGTTACAGTCCTACAACCAGGTTCTCAGCTGGTATAAACATAGATGTGCTGGAGAGAATACTGTAAGTCTTGTGGAAACTGGGAGATCATTTAGATCTTATACTGCAGATCCCTCCTTCACAACGTAACTGGGTTGAGTAATTGAGAACTGAAACTGATATAGCAACTGCAAAAGCAATTTATGTCCATATTTCCAGATGCTGATGAGGTCATTAGATTATTTTCTGTAAGTGTCACTCTAAATATTTTCTTTTTTGGTCATATATCTCTTTTCCTCCTTTAAATTTCATGTACCTGATCCCAGCCTAAGCTAACTGAACCTCAGATACTTAATTAACAAAACTTTATCAGAAAGAGAGGGTGTAACAGACTTAACGCTTAACATGACATCAGAGCTGAAAGCAGCCATGATGGTCATGGGAGGTTTACAGAGCAGCTTCCTCACCATATGCTACACGACACAGTGCAGCCCACTTTATATCCATGGAAGTTTTTTACTTTCCTTGCACTTGTCTACTTGCACCCCATGTTCCATAAAAATGTCCACCTGATTTATTTAGACTGTATGTACTTTGAGACATAGGCTATTTGCTGCTTGATGGCTGCATGCTAATACGAACCATATAGCTCATCACTGTTTGAGCTCAAGGCAAAATGGTAATAAACATATGGGTAAAAAATAAACAATGATGTACAAGCCCTTTTTTCCATGTCTCATTAATGAATACTGTATGTGTTCAAACTCTACTGTAAAGGCCCTTAAATAATCAGCTGTTTATAGAATTTATCATCCATCATACAAAGTATAAAATTCATATCAAATATATATGTATCTATGAAATAAGTGAACTGAATAATTTGTCCTCAGTAATAGTTTCAGTACTCTGACAGTTATTTTACAATATTATACCTGCTCTCCAATATCTAGTAGAACCCAACACTTTCTAAGTCATGAGCAACATTCTTCAAGATGCTGTTCCAAATCCTCTACATGAAACATTAGTGCTCGTGCTACAGTTTCCCCCACTGTGCTAATCCTGCATAAGGGAATAATGTTGATATGGAGTGCCAATGCCATGACTACAGTTTTCCCTTCAAACTTCCAAGTACTGTTTTACAAGCAGTAACAGCATAGGAAGCATTTAATATCTGCACAAATATGTGAAGCTGCAGAAACTGCTTACAGTGGGAGTCTTGGAGGGTATAACCAGATAATTCTGCATTTGAAAGCCACGGCAAATTATCAAACATAGAGAACAAACCCTCTTTATTCTATCCAGCCTGTACTAATCACTCATGTATTCACACAGAACAGAACATGAAAGATAAAAATTGCTGAAGAACTTGAATGGCAACTCTTCCAGAGCTCTGACAAATAAGATACTGACCCTGCAACTTGCAGAAGAGAATGGACTCGGACGAAAGGACAGCCAAGAATATGTTAAATTATAAAGGTATTTTTTTAGCCAAGACTTATTCCTCTTAGTCATAAACAATGGACTGATTCCCAAATCTTACTACTCAAGGAAAAAGGAATACTGAAGAAATGAAAAATTTTAGTCCTGATGTCAGCCTTATTCAAAATTGCCTCCCCTGACCCCATAAGAAACAGCCCCCAACACTTGTATAACTTCTTGATAATCCTCCTTATCCAAAACAAACAAACAAACAAAAAATGGATCTGTGATATGAGACCTTTTGGTCTGGGAGAGATAAAAGATGTACACATTGGATTACCCACAGAATCACAAATGGCCAAGAAACCTCACGAGGGTCAAAAAGGACAGCTAACTAAGGTAATTATAAATCTGGTGTTAGCTGCCTCTCAGAGGGTACATGCAATATTTTCAAGGTAAATGCACTACAGCCTTCCAAACTCTGAACAAGAATTTCTTGTGTTTTTTTCTGAATCTTAGTAAGACTGTAATATGGATTCCTCTATTTCCTGGCAAAGCAATGAAGCAAATAACCATTGCTTTAGACAGCAGACATTCCTCGGGACCTTTCAGCAAGGTGTGCAAAAAGACTACATACACTGATATTGCAAATGAGTGTGTCAGCTCTCATGCTGTACTGATAGCTGTCGAATTGCATATTAAAAAAAAAGCAAGCAAATACTTCTTACCATGAAACCCTCAGTGTACTGAAACTGAGCTCTGGAACTGTCTTCTGCTGTGGGACTCAGGGGCTTAGGATCAGACATAGAGCGTTGCATCATCTTTGCCGCCTTTGGGCTTGATGGAGGAACCTTGGCAATGTCAGCATGCAGCATCTTCTGAGGGCTGATGTCATCAGTGATGGGTTTTTCATAGGGTACAAATGCTGACTCTATAACTTTGCTTGGTGAAACAGGTGAAATGGGTGAATAGAGAACTTTGGGAGATTTGGGAGGGGAAGGGACTACCTGCAATGTGGAGTCTGGACGAAGGTGGGATGAGTATCCTATCTCTAATGGTGTTGGGCGTTTTTTATCTTTCTGAGGAGATGAAGCTGACAGATATTGGGGACTTTGAGTATCTGACTCTGTCTCTGTTTGACATCCCAAACTTTCTCCTTTATATGTCTTTTCTGGAGCTGAAATGTGCTTTATGATTTCAACCTTAGCATCCAATCGGGCCCTGACTGAAGGTGTTCTTATTGTTCCTACAGGTTCTGTTTGTACTGAAATCTCTGCTACTGTCTGAACTGCAATACTAGATACTTTGGAGAATTGTTTAGCTTTGTCTGCCTCAGTGGTACTCTCACTGTATTTCACTACACGAGGCTTCCTTCTGGATGTGCTCGAAAGATCACATTCATCTTGATCTTCATCATCTGTCTGAACACTCGTATCAACACTCTTCTTAGTTCTCCGTCTCCTGTTTGTGTAACCTCTGTCTGCTCCGTCTTCATCGTCAGTTTGCACTCCACTGTCCACTATCTTTTTGAAGCACCGGGGCTCTTCTTCCACGGTTTCCTCAAGCTCCTCATATGGACCACGTAATTTTGGCATAGAACTTCTCTTTTTCAATTGCTTCTCCTCTCTAACATCAATATCCTTAAGAGACATTTCTGAAACAGAGCTTAGGATACCAGACCTAGGTATGTATTGGGTAATGCCATCAGACTGAACTGTATACCATGTTTGGCTTTGTGGAATTTCGATACCCAGTACTCCTGAAGCCGTAGTGGTTGCATCATCAGTAGGCCAAAACTGGCCATTTTCTGTGGTTGCATACTGTCCTTCCAAAAGTGTTTGATCTGTGGTAGTTTGTGGTGAGCCATTTCCTGACGGGTCATAACCATACTGATATATTTGACGAATTTTTTGCTCCTCTAACTGTTGGTGGAGCTGTTGTTGAAGTTGTTGGAATTGTTCAAGCTGCAACTGCTGCTGGGCTAATGTCTCTTGCCTCATCATAAACTGAGCTTGTCGTTCCTCCTCTTGCTGAAATAAGAGATGATGTTTCATGGATTGCAACTCCTCAAGCTTTTTTTGCACCATAAACTTCTCTTGTTCCCTAAATCTTTGAATTTCCTGACGTTCCCATTCCAGCTCTTCTGCAAAGCGCTGCTGCTTAATTTTCTCAAGCTCAAGAAGTTCACGTTCCAAATCAAGCTGCTGCTGTTTGCCTTCTTCAGGGGCAATGAGAAGGGCAACCTCATCTTCGATTACATCTGTATAAACTTCAGATGCTGTAGTTAAAGCAGGTATCAAGTTGGTTGGCTCAGTGGTAATAGTTTCTATAGTAAGAGGTGGTAACCCTGTCTCCATATCAATGGCAGTAATTGCACTATCTTTTTCAGCTGCCACTGTTGTCAAGAAACTGTATGATCTTGGGAGCGGTTGATTCTGTTGCAAAGTTGATAAAGAGGGCACTGAGTCAATTGTTTGGAGAGTAGGTAAATCTCTGACAGTTGTACTGAAAATAGAACCGGGTTGTGTAGTGATGGCAAATGTGGATGGGATTGGAGTCGCTACTGAAGAATAAACAACACCATTGGATGATCTTAAAACACTTCCAATGCCCAACTGGGAACCCAGAGATGATACCATTCTTGCTTGGGAATACTGTGGTGTACTGAGCCCGATGCCAGAAATCACCTGCCGAGTCTCTGGATAAGGACCAGTAGTCTTGCTTGAGTAATCCATAACCTCACCTGAAATTACAGGGCAAAGTTACAGTCCAGTCCCACAAAAGAATGCTGCTTTGCGGATTCTGAAAGTCATCCCGTCTTGATGAATTAAATGGGAAGGGGAAACTGCATGCAAATCTTCAGGTTAATGATCTACTTTAGATGTGAAGGAAACAGCATTTCTGAACATGCAGGCACATGCAGGCACCTCTGTGCAAAATACATATGTAAAATGAAGAAATGAAAAACACGTGTAATCCAGAATAATTTGTCACACTGTCCAAAAGAAAACAAAACAACAGAAGGAGGGGAAAAATAATAATAAAAAAAATCATCCTGAAATGAGGTGAGGAACATCAAAATTATATTTCAAAGAAAGATCTGCTGCTGTGTCATACTGACCTGTAGTAACTCTTCCAGAAGTAAGATCTACTGCTGCATCAGTTGCCCCAACTCGATAATCAAAGCTATTCTTGCTTTTGTATGCAAACAGTCCAGCTTCCGATAAGTTTGTGTCAGACATAGATGGTTTCATACCTCCCATTCCTCGGTAGCCATATGACCCTGAACGATCATACTGATAATGGTCATCTCTGTAACCAAAGCGATCTTCAGGAAGTGTAGTTGGCGGCTGCTGTGCTGTACAGCTCCTACCAAATGGCAATTTATAAACCATATCACAGCAGACAGCTCTTCTCCCTGCAGTCAGATCCACAGGCTTTTCATCATCTTCTATTACTGTTGTTATGACACCTGAAGTAGTTTCATCCATTGTTACTACTGTCCTGTGGGATTTTGTAGTGCTGAGGTCAACTGCTCCACTCTCCAGCGGCTCCTGAGAAGTGGAGAGATCAGTCCAGCCATTTGTAACACCAACAGGAGGTACAGTAACAGGCTTTGTAGTAGCCCATGTCACTGCATGTGTTGAAGTACCTAGGGATAAATTTATTGGCACTTCATCTCTACCTGCAGAGAATGCCTGGCTGCCTGTTACTCTGTATGCAGGCTCAAAATGTTTTGATGTTGTTAGCTGAAGCGGCGTTGTCATCGCATGTCCCAGATCCACAAGGCTGTCCATACTGGCAGTGTAGCTTACAGTGGCGGTGCAGGTCATTACAGTTACTGTCTCAGTGACTACAGACAGAGAAGGATCGGCAACACATGCAGTGCTAAGATTTATTATAGCTGGCTGGACAGTACTTACTGGCCGCCCACATGTATCACTTGCTGGCATTTGCCTTCTCACGTCCATGGAAACAGCAGACAGATCCATACAGCTGTCTCTCATTTCAATATCCATCTTAGTTAAAGTGCGAAGATCTATGACATCACCCAAAGGATGGAATCTTCCGTTCTCTCTATACCTGGGTTGATCTACTATATGTAGTGGCTCTGGAGGTATAGTAATAGCGACACTACCTAAACCAAAACCGGGCACTGGGCCCTTAACCACAGACACTGTGGTCTTGGTTAGCTCTGTTGTTACTACTTCTGATTTTGAACTAGGTATTTTTTCAAAAGTTGCCTGTGTTGTGACAGGAATAGCTTGCAAAGCACCTGAAATATACATACTCTGATCTGCCATACTTTGAATTTCCATAGTTTTCATGGATGGAGTAAAAATTGGTTGTATAGGCTGGGAAATCTGTTCTTTAGAAGGTTCTTCTAAAGGCCAGCTGGTAACAGCCTGACTAGTTATAGCTTCTGTGGGAGTTCCAGGCTCAGATGGCAGTGTGATGACAACATAGGTTTCCTGTGAGGGTTTTGTCAACCTTGGTGAAGATTTGTTAGAGTGTGGAGACAAAGGGGAAGTGGGAGAAGCTATTTTGTATTCAGCTGCAGAGACCAAATTCAGAGTCATACTTGAAGTCAATGACAAACCTATTGGTTTGGGCTGTGTTTCTGCTGGCTTATAAACAGCTATTGGGAGCGGAGGAACTGCTGGTTTAGGAGCAATTGGAGGTTTAGTTACTTCAGCAGGCCTGTGACTGAAAACAAGCCCTGCTGGAATGGAGGATGGTTTGGGTGGTACAGGAGGTGGTGTTGGGGTGTATGTTTTTGTGATAGGTACCACATGATTCTTTAATACAGCTGTGGACTCTAGTGTTGGAACCCTTGTGACTGAAGGTACCCCTGTGGGAGCTGTTGCTGCTGGAGTCTTAACCTGTGACTTCTTTTTGGGATAAATGGCTGGCTTGGGTAAAATAGGTGGAGGTAATGGCGGTGGAGGAGGTGGTGGAGGAGGAGGAGGTGGGGGTGGAGAAGGTTGTGCAGAAGAATCCAAAGAAGAGCTTCTAAAAAGCGAGAATACTTTGGATGTTACAGCAGGAGCTGAGGAAGGCACAGAGACCATGCTGGTCTTTCTTACAACACTGGGGGTGGGTACAGAAGATTTCTCTGATGCAGGCTCTGTAACTGGTTCTGATGCTATACATACAGGTGGTTGCTCAGATGTAGCACTAGTCAAATTAATCCTTGTCATATCAACATCCAATTCTTTGTGTGAATCTTCATGATGAATTTTGACAATGCCAGCCTCTGCTGTACTTTTCATTTTTCTAGCTGCTTCCTTTTCTGCTTTGGAGGTATCAAAGGTAATGATATCAGTTGCATATTGCTTGGGTTTTATAACTGTAGTTGCCACTACTGAGGGTGCAGTTTCAGGTAAACAAACTGCAGCTTGGTCCACACTTTCCACATCTGATGCTATAGATGGCTTTTTAGTGGCTTCAGCAATAGATTCATAAGGCATGCTCACTTCAGAGTACTCTCTTGTCGATGTTAAGGGAACTTGGGTTATTATCCTGACACCTTCAGAATCTGCTAGTTTACTTACAGCATCTGCTGTTTCTACATAACCTGGGGTTGCACTATCTATAGGTGATGAACTATCTGTGGTACAAACTGAAGATGTAGATGATGTTAAGGAAGCTGTATCAGAAGGTAAAACTGATGCAGCACCTTCTGATGTCTCAGAGTATGTCAACATTGATGTTTCATGAGAAATTATTTCTTGAATTTCTCTGGCATAATCTGTTAAGTATTCATCTTCAATTTCCTCTGCTGTAAAATGCTGTGTTATTTTAACATCTGGAATAGAAAGTGCTGTGCTACTGACAGGTGATACATCTGAGATAGCTGAAGTAGTGCTTGATGTTAAAGATGTACTATCCACTATTTCTCCAACACTAGATACCTTTGTATCAGATATGGGAACGAAACCTGAAGTTGGTTGTGTTGGACTGGACCCGGGGGTTAGCTGCATTCTCTGTCTTTTCATAAGCTCTTCATAAGCAGCTTCTGCATCTAACAACTGCTTTTCCTCAGTGGTGGAAGCTACTGTGCTGTCTAATACAACAATTTCATGACTTTCTGGGATAATGTAAGAACTAGAAACAATATCTTCTTGAGGCACAATAGAATGTAAAGTCTCAACACTATAGTAGTCTTTCTGTAGATCAGTAATTTTCTGTGCTTCTTCATAGATCTGTTCTGAAGCTCTTATTTTTTTCTCTTTTCCTCTCTGTTGTATATATTCATTGCTCTCATCTTGTCTCATTACAAGATTAGTATCAATAGTTCCATTGTAAGTATCCTCTACTAAAGATTCATAAATATAATCCTCTATTAGCATTCCACCATATAAAGATTCTTTTTCAAATACTTCATCTTTTTCATTTGCAATTTGAAATGACTTGGACTTATGGGTCTTATGCATCATCTCCTCATATACCTCTTCGGCACTTTTCAATGTCTTTTGACCACTTTCTTCTTTTGGGAGTCCAATTTGTTGTTCATCTGTTGGTGAGTATAGAGAGACAGCAGTAGGCAATTTGTAAACTTTTTGTACTTCTATTATTTTTTCTGGGCTGATTTCAAATCCTTCAGGATCTGACTCAATACTAGGTGAATATTCAGAACAGGAAGATCTGTGCAGCTCTTCCATTTCTGCTGCCTGTCGTAATTCTTCTGTTGGAGATGCATCTTCAATGGGAGAAAGATTACTTGGTGGAGTCTTTGGATGTTCCCTTCTTCTCTGAGCTCTTAGTTCTTCCTTGTCCTTTTTAGATTTTTTGCTAGAACTTTTTCTTTGTTGCTGTTCTAATTCACGCTGTTTCTCTTGTTCCTTTAGCAGTTCTTCCTCTTCCCGTAGTTCTTCTTCTTCTGAAGAATCTTCAATAGTTGGAAGAAGAGGACCATGCGACCGATGTCTGGCTTTGCGCTGTTGTTTGCTCTCCCCTCCCATTTTTTTGTGACTAGGACTGCTGTCACTATCTTCATCAAGTGATGACACTGAAGTAGGAGATGTACCTGGTGTGAAACTAGAAGCATGTAAACTAGAAGACCCTTCTCCTCTAGATCTATCTTCTGGTGAATCTGTAAGACTCTCCATCTCTAGCTCAGGCTCTTCATCAAAATATAAAATACCTTTCTGCTGTTCAGATGCTTCAGAATATTTGTTTGTTATTGTACTATTTAATTCTATTGTTTTGAAACGCCGAAGGCCTCCTCCTCCTGTTACTGCAAGTTCTTCACCATCTTGACTTTTAGTTTCTCTGTATTTTGGCTCTGGGCTTTCATCAAAAGTCTCATCATCATCATCATGCCATGAATGTCTTCTTCCTGCATCCTCATCATAGCCTGCACTACTTTTCCGTGCCATTCTTCTATGTTTTCCAGCTGTTCCTTTGGCTTTGCTTTTCACTTCTTCTTTCTTTTGGCTTTCAGTTACACTGATCTCTTTGAGTTGATTTCTGATGAATTCATCATCTTCAGAACCTGAGGCGTCTTCATCAGCACTCATCTCTATAATCTGTTTTCTAATGAAGTCTTCCTCATCACCTGATCCCTGACTGTCGTCTCGTTTGTACTCATCACTGCTTGAAGAACCAACACTAGCTCTTCTTTTTCTCCTTGGGACAGGTGAGTTTTCACTCTCACTGCTGTCTTCCACAGAATCATAGCGTTGTCTTCTTGCCGATATGTCATCTCCTTCATCTTCTTCCTTGTAGTCTGCCCGGGAGGAAGCACTTCCTTTGCCATCTTCTACAATGGTTCCTTCACCTTCTTGAATAGCTTCTATGTCTTCCTCATCTGAACTGTAAGACTCTGGAGTGACTGGCAAAGGCTTTGTTTTTTGTTGATCCTTTGTCTGTTCACCGTATGTTTCATAAAGGTCTTTGCTTTTCGCAGATTTTTCATCAGAAAGCGTGCTTGCCTGAGCTTCCAAAATAGACAGTACAGTGCTTTCCAATTTAGCTAGATCTGAAGGGCTTGGTGGACTTTCTTGTGAAATAGTGTCTTTTTTATTAGATTCTCTGAGTAAATCCTTTTCATCACTGGGGATATGACTTGGAATTTCACCAAGTGAACTTGATATCCCATCAGAAGAATACCCGGTGTCACTCAAACCTTGTGGACTTTTCTGTTGCTGAGAGCTTGATGTGTCTGATTTGTCATCCTCCTTTTCCTAAAAAAATAAATACATACGCGTGTGTATATATTTATATATAAATTCTTAATGCCTCCAGGCAATTAAATACATGTGATTTTTTTTCTAAAAGATGAGTTAATGTCTCAGATGAAAAATTATGATGCCAGGAAGAATTATATTAAACCATAAAAGACTGAACACTAATTTTGTTGTTCAGAGCCATTAAAATAATACAAAAAGTTCCCCAAATTTTGAGTTTTTGCATTGAATCTAACTATGCTTTGCATGGCTGTCCACGCTGGCAACTGATTTTATTAGTTGTAAGATGATCTTCTATTTTTCAATATAAACAAATACTGTATTTATTGTTTTCAGAACACTTACTAATGATAATCTATCATTTGTTCATATATGCATGGGACAAGTTGTTTGGGGGTTAATTTAAATGAAGATTTTTAATTACTTATGTTTCAAAACTGCCTACATAGCTCTAGATACAAAGTAATACAGCTTGCCAAACATCAGCCTGCAGTATTTCAGGGGTCTGCTCCTTTCTTTGCCCATTTAATCTTTTATAATTGTCTAGCAATACGTCAATCTTCTCAAATTTTGGACCTATAGTTTCATTTTGTTGATTTAAGTGTTACAGATTGTAACATGCAACAGAATACATGGAGTATTGAAGCATGATTTAATGCAATTTGGAATGTCCCCTTATCTTCAGTTCGGCACTGTACAAACATTTTCTGAGTATCTCACAAAAAAGAAGTTTCTCAGTAAATTTGTAATGCAGAGGTAAGCTGCTGGTAGGGAAGTGTAATTGCAGGGAGGAAAGCACGATGGTCAGCTATTGATCAAAGGAAATAAGGAAGCAAAGAAGGCAGGCATACCTGCCTGAGCATCATAACCCATGCTTTCCTTCTCATCCCTAATTAAACACCCTCAGTCATCCTCCTAGCTTCCAGATCCTTCTACACCATTCTGAATGACAAGCACCTCTATCTCCTTCTTTAAATAACAAAAATACCAAGAATAACCTACAACAAGTATTTCCACACCAGAGTTTCCCTCGTCCTTCTCTCAACTGTGAAATGCTCTGTACTTAGTGAAAGTACCTCACCATTTGGCTAACAAAACAGCTCACTTTCCAAATGACAGGTCATCTTAGCTGTCATCTCACAAAGTGTCCCCACCTCCACTAGCAATTTGAGAACAAGCATCCCAGTCTCCTGATTTTAATAATATGATGTGATCTCCACATTTGTTGTGGCCCTTAATAATATAAATAGGTAATATTTATCAACTTTGCTAATCTAAGTCAATGATTTCTGAAGTACAGCAAATCACTTATTTAAATCTTTAATTTATCAACTTTCTTGACAATATGCCAAGTTAAAAAAAATACTGTGGAATAAATATGTTAAGAAAATTATGCAAATGCTTAATTATAATTTAAAGGTACATTTACACTCATGTTAAGTTGCTATCAATTACAAGTATTTTCAAATGTTTATTTACACTAAAGGTATATTTAATGCCAAAATCTCATAAACCAAATATTTGTTATTGTCAGTTATTTTATTTTTAAAAACCAGCCAAGTTTTTTCATTATTTAATTTACATTTATTTAAAGTACCTGTTCTTGCCTAGAAACACATCACTGTGCACATAATCCTACATTAAAACACTAATATTAATATTAGTATCAATATTACAGTAATCTACTAATTAATATTTTATTAAGTAATCTCCATTTCACAGGAGTGATTTATTATATGCTTTGCAAAATCAGATACTACCTTGAATATAAACTACATCTGTTCTTACCAATATTGTAACCAATATGATAAACTCAAATATCTGATATCAGAGCAAAATCTATTGCAATTAAAAAACAAATATGAAAACAAATATTTCTAAGGACTACTCTAATGATAAGGCTGTGATTAATATATAAATATGGAGAAACCTATAGTACTCCAAACAACTTTGGGAAGTCATCACCACTTAAACACTTCAGCACTTATTATTCTGAAAAATGTAGTCTGGGATATTCTCCAGCCCTTAATGACAGATTTATATAAACTCTTCACAAAAAGTCAGCAATGAAGCATAGTTAAAAATTCTAGGGTTTGTATGTTGTATTTACATTTTTGTTCCCTTTATTAAAGAAGAAAGTGCTTAAGGGGAATTTATTGGGCTATGTTTTAAAAAATACACATTTCATTAAACCAAAGGATTTTTCCATCTAGAAATATCATGCCCCTCACTAAAATTTCACCTATGACATTTGATTGTTATTTTTTATTTTCTTTCCAGTATGTTCATACTTATAAAGACATACTCAAGCAAACACACTGTGATCAATTTAGATGAGCTACTAGAAAATCCAAACATTGTTCAAGCTCAGAAGGCCTCCTAGGAGTTGATGGACTGACTGCGTCCATCTAGTGAGAGTGACTCTGTCAGATCCTGGTTCTCCACAGGGAGATGAAGTGATACAGTGACTTGTAAAGCAGAGACAGAAGGCATCAACTAAAGAGTTAAGCTCAAAAATAGGGAGACAACAACTGGTCATGGAACAACTTTAGCCATTCGCCTTGTGATGGTGCCACTATCTGTGAGTCCAACGTGTAGTACCTACTCAGTGACCAAACCAGAGGAGATGGCAATGAATATTGCTATTGCCTGCCCTGTTGTTGAACCTCAGTGTATGCCGTAACATCACTGCTATGAATAATAGGAAACTGAATACAGGAAAGTGCTATTTGTGCAGTAAGGAGAAGAAAAAGATCTACAATAAGGAGGGACTTCTTTTATGACTAGAAATAGACATGATGAGAAAATTCAACTTTCTTTTTAAGGCTACCATAATATGAAAATATTTTCTATCATTTTTGTATGTATAGTTGTCTGCTCCGTGATATGTCATGCAAAAATTATCCTGCACATCATGTTTCAAGATCATATGCATGTAACTTACAATAAATAACATTTGGTCTTTGTGCTGCTTTTCCTAATTTCCTGCAGCCTGAGAACTAGAAGATTGTCATTAGCTACATCTATTCTTAAATGACTGGTAATTAATTTTCTACAGGGTTGGCCATCACATACACAAAGAGAGCATAATTGACAAACTTTTAAACATACCATAAACATAAGATTTTTAGACGATTAACAAAATATCCAAACTTTTAAACATACCATAAACATCATAAGATTTTTAGACGATTAACAAAATATTGCAGAAACAATGCTGCTAAGGATCATATATATATTCAACAACTCTTGGAGAATGAAAAATGTATTTTAATCAAAAAAACACTTTTTTTCTTGTAAAGTAGGAAGTACTTTGGTACATGTTGAATTACTGGGCCTTTCTGAGTAGTTGAATGGCATTTTTTCTGAAAGTTTGCCTACTGTGAGTTTTTAACACTGGACAAATTTAGGTCTAATACAGACATTGAAGGGAGGATCTTCCTGAGACATGAGGAACAAAGACACTTATAAAAGCTGCAGGCTGCATAAGACTGTTTAAAAACAGCAAATGTAACCTGTTTAACTAATGGTAAAAATAATCTACTGTAGGATGTATTTGTACTGTTCTAGTGGCATTTCTACAGTGTCAATGTCAATACATCATACACCTATTTTGCATTGGAAGTTTTTGCTTTAGAAGTATTATTTATTCTTACACTTCCTGACTTTTAATATTCTTATTTGAAAATATAAAACTTAGTGCTTTACAAAGTCCCACTGGTTATCAAATTCAGTCAGAACTCTATTAAAAAGAAAACTGTGATTAAAAAAAAAAAATCTTGTCAGTTTTTTGAATTATTTACAGCTAGTAAGATTACATTCTGTTGCGCAGAACAGAAATTTTATTTTGCAACGGATTTTTAAAAGGTCATTCTTTATAGAAGAAATAAAGATACTTACATTATCTAAAAAAAAAAGTTTCAGAGAGTGAAAAAAAGACTTTGGTTGACTAAACTCTTTAATCTGTATTTGGATTTTATGTTCTCAAAATGAAACATTTTATTTTTGTCCAGAAAAACTGCTTACATATAAGCCTTTTCCTCCTTATTCTGGCTCTCTGGTCTGTGTTTTGTCACTAATGGCTTGTGTTAGAATAATGATGTCAATTTACAATATATTAATTTCTACCTGGTTACACCACCTAAGCACACAATCATTCCTCAGTAAACATAAGAAGGTGGTAATAAGGGCACTTATATAATATAGCTGATGTGTTGTAAATATATGTCCAGTTTACACCATGGTAATATGTTCATGTAGATATGCTGAACTACTTCTATGTTAATTTGTGAGTTCCAAGATGACTGTTCTATACTGACAAACCGTACAACATAACCGTCCAAGATTTCTAGGCATACCTGTTAGAACAGCTAACTGCTATTGCACGTGTGAATAGTCAATATTACAAGATGGTTTTTCAGGAGAAGGACCTGTAAATCATGAGCAAGTCAGTTTATTCTGTAAAACTTTTTTGAAGAAATTACAGTTTAAAATATTACTGAAAAAATAATGTTTTGAAGAAAAAAATGGCTTTACAATACCTTAAATCATACTTTGAGATCCAAATATTTAAAAATGTTTCAATATTTAAGTCACTTTTGTTTCAAAGGATGCCAGATCTCTAAATACAATTGATATCTGTGATTTTCCAAGGATCATTTTACTGACTGTACTGGATCAGAACTTTAGCCTCTCCATGTCTTTAGGGACTTGTTGGGGTGTTGCTGTCTTTTTTTTTTTTTAGTGAAAAATGAGGATAGTATTATTTACTTATCTCATTGGAATACTACAAGAGGTAGTAATTAGCATTTGCACAGATTTGCATATAAAATGGCATCAGCAGTTTGTCAAGTGCAGAAAGTATTAGATTTTCCCTTGCATCCCTATTTAAAAATATACCTACCCGAAATCCTTCATATGATTCTGTCCTGAAATACATGTAAAATATATTCTTCAGTGTCTGAATATTGTCCTTTACCCACTGAAATGGAATCAATGATGTGTGATATCTAAATTGTTATCTCCTCTTCCACTTCTGTCACATGCTTTCTTGGGAAGAATTGTATCTAGCAGTGTTTGATGTACAGTACGGAGAACATTAAAATACTTCAGTAAATAAAAATTTAAAAAATCAGTTATTTTTTTGAAGTACCAGCTAGTTGAGGCACTAGCTTTATTTTTAATTCTGAACAATTTGAGCTGCTTTTTTTTTTTTTTTTTGAACGATTCTTCCAAGGAGCAAAAAAGGGGGAAAAAAGGAAAAAAAGTCTTTTTGTGTAAAAATAGCTACTCCTTTTTCATTCATTGAATTCTGGTTTGTATTTCAGTGTGTTCTAATTTTAAAAATACTTATAAGTAGATATGTATGTTTTTTTTTTAATTCATTAAACTTCTGCTTTAAAAACTTTAGCTAAGTGTGCTTCAAAGTCTGATAATAAAAGAAAGATAATCCCTATTTATGGTATTAACTCAGTAAGTCCTGATTTCAGTTAGGAGTGGGAGGAAGTGAAAAATAAGTGAAATAAGAGTGAAATATATGTGTGCGTCACACTAGAAATCACTAATTAATTTACAATTAAAATCTGTCGCTATCAGAGATGGAAATCTAATATATGTATCTTAGATTTGTCCGGAGTATTTAACCTCCTTATAGAACATAAAAATGACTAGACAGGACTGAGACTAGCATGTGATGAAAATTTTCCCTTACAAATGCTTTTCAACAAAAAAAAACCCCGCAAATTTTTAACAAAAGTAACAAAATTCTAAGTCTACTTCTTAGGTTTTCTAATACGAATTTAAAAAAAAGTGACATTTTGTTAACAAAATTAAACTTACTCTTCTTGGAAAGCCCTGCAACAGTGTCTTATGTTTGATACGAGATAATCAAATTGATAATAGGATTTTCTTAGATCTCCTCCTTGTTTCTTCCAGAAGGGAAGATTTCTGACTATGTTACTTTGAGCATAATTCAGAGATTCCCTCAGTACAATCACTGGACACCATACCTCTTGATATCACCAAGAGGAGGAAACACAACATCTGATAGGAGATGTATTTCAGACAGGAAACTTGGTTTATAAAAATAGTAGTATTCTCCACAGAACAATTTCTGAATCAGAATATTTTTCTGTCCAAATAATTTGGTTATCACAAGGAAGAAAAATAAAACAAAAAAACCACCCTTTTTGAGTGGGATTATTTGAAAACATAATTTTGGCAAAGGTTAAACACTTTTCCTAAACCTACTCCTACTTTCATAACATGATAATCAGCACCTAATTTGCGGTGGTGATATAAATAAACTAGCAGTTTTCATTTCTCAACAAATCGTGTATATTACTCACTTCAGCTGATAAATGACTTGTTGGTGACTTCACATCCAGCAAATGCATTTATTTAAGAAATGCAGACTTCTAGTACATGCTGTCATAAACTCATCCATTCATCTGACTTGAGAGCCCACCAAGAGCCCTACCTAAAAGTACTTGTCCATATGAGATAAACAAATGAAATTGTAAAAAGATATAAATATTGCATACTTTAACATACCATGTTCAGGCATCACGAAGTATTCCTCAAATGTTTATTATATTTTGGTATTGCAAAACACTGTACATTTTACCATCACAGATTATTCCCTTTTGGGATTAAGAACTATGAAAATACTCCCATTTCAACAATTAAACTCCAAAGTCCGGAAAGTCTACAGAAGCAGGTAAATAAATCAGAAATATTGGAAATATTATTAAACAGGAATTTTGCCTTAGTTTCAAATGCCTAACTGCTTGAGACTGAAAATCATGCAAGAAGTGTTGAAAAGTTGCATGTAGAGCATAGGACTAACTGGTGAAACTTTCACTCAATGGGAGTCATTGATTTTATAATTTAGTATCATCCCGTACAGAGAATAACCATAAAGAGCAGGAAGACATAAAGGAGAAGGTCTGTCAGGATCAAATTTTAAATTGTAGCAAGGCAGAAGGGGGGTGGGAGGGAGAAAGCCACTTACTATTTTTTCTCTTACTGCTTCCACATGGTCAGTTCCTGGCAAAGGTGCTGTTTGAACAGGAATTTCTTCTTCCTGAGCTTTTTCAGCTTTCAAAACCATTTGTGAAATCCCAGTTGTCAAGCCCTCTTTCTTAACATCCTCTTGCTTCTTAGCTTGCAGTCCCTTATAAGGTGCTTCAACTTCTGCTTTCTGTTCAGCAACATGGTCTTTAGTCTCAGCTGTAATTTGTTCTTTTTTGTCCTCTGGATGTGGTGCGCGCTCTTCAGGGAGCACAGGTTTTTTATTTTCTTCCAATGTGCTTAGGGGTTTCTTCTGGTCTGAACTTACTGTTGCAGGAATTTTATCTGCTGAAAGTGTCTTTGACAGTTTCTCTTGCTGAAGTTTTGATTCTTCTTTTTGAGCTTCCTGTTGGATTTTCTCCACTGACGAAGTTTTCGTGATTTTCTCATGTTGAAGTTTTGGATCTTCTTTCTGAATTCCATGTTGGATTTTATCAACTGAAACTGCTTTTGACAATTTGACCTCCTGAAGTTGTGCATCTTCCTTCTGAGCTGCAGGCTGGATTTTGTCAGCTGATAGTGCCTTTGCCATTTTCATCTGTTGGAGTTTTGGGTCTTCCTTCTGAATTCCATGTAAAATTTTGTCAGCTGAGGGTATCTTTGCCAATTTTGCCTCTTGAAGTTTTATGTCTTCCTTCTGAACTCCATGCAAAATTTTATCAGCTGAGGATGTTTTTGCCAGTTTTGCTTCTTGAAATTTTGCATCCTCCTTCTGAACTCCATGCAAAATTTTATCAGCTGAGGATGTTTTTGCCAGTTTTGCTTCTTGAAATTTTGCATCCTCCTTCTGACCTCCATGCAAAATTTTATCAGATGAGGCTGTCTTTGTCAGTTTTGTTTGCTGGAGTCTTGGGTCTTCCTTCTGAGAAACACGTTGGATTTTATCAGCTGAAGGTGTCTTGACAAGTTTTCCCTGCTTAAGTTTTGCATCTTCTTTTTGAATTCCTTGTTGGATTTTATCAGCTGACAATATTTTTTCCAGTCTCCCCTGCTGAAGTTTTGGAACTTCCTTCTGAACGCCTGGTTCTTCTTTCGGTTTTGCTGCTGCTGGAGTAGGCGGTGTGGAAGTCTTCTGAGAGGAATGTGAGACAGCAGGCATAGGCTGTTTTTGAGGAGTAGCAGGTGGTTTGGATACTGGTTGTGAAGGGCCTGTTTTCGGAAGTGGCACCTTGCCCATGTCCCCAAGTTGTCCTGACATTGCCCTTTGGGTCTGGCAGTTTAAGCACAGCCACTCCTGTACCTGTGATACAACAAATATATGAAGTTACTTATTTGAAAACATAACAGTAAAATCATACGGCTTTTTCAACTGATACAGTTGAACACTTTTAATCTGAATGCTATGCATACTGAAAAGTTATTTTCTTTGTTTGCTGCTCTTGCAGGAAGATCCATAACACCTTTCTAACAGAAATGAAGCATGAAAGGTTCCAGAAAGCCAAGCTGAACAAATGTAAAAATATACTGTGAAAACTAACAGCACTTACATTGTTCCAAAGTATTGATGACCTTTATGCACAAAGTTTGCTTGTCTATTTCTAACATCTCTTGTTTTCTAAAGCCTCTATAATCTATAGATAGTTCCCTTTAAGTTTGTAAATTTGAGTAAAAGGGGACCAACTGGGACTCATGGCTCTTTGTGTTTCTCTTCAGAAGTTACCTTTCCCTCTTGAATTTGTGTATATAGTATCAGTGTATAAATTTAATATGGCTATAACTCAAAAGGAAGGTTACCTGTCTGCTCTCTTTTCCACTAAATCCCTGCTACACACTGGCTCCTTTTACTCTTCTTCCCAGAAAATCAGAAAAAAAGGACAAATGCTTATATCTGTGCAAAAGATTTAGTTGCCAGTTGCCTAGCTATTACATGAGAGAAGTAATCAGATTGTTTCCAGTGGGATTTGGGGTATAGTTTCTTTAGAATAGCAAAAGGAAATTTTAAACACGGGAAAGTACTCAAAGGAAAGAAAAAGGCCAGAATCTTCTGGATACTAGAATAGATCATGAAGCTCTACTTCACTAGTGCAAAATGAGCTTCTTTGGAGGATAAGAGGTCTATGCTGTACATTACAATCTCTGTATGCTTGTTTTTATCTCCTTTTACTGTGATGATGGGAGGTCTCAACAATTCTTTTTATTTTATTTCTCTGATTTAGAGAACTTAGTGGCCTATTGAATATGAAGCACATGAAAAACAGAGCAAAATTGTTCTATGAGTAATTATATAGGTAATACTGCTGATAATATTAGGATAGTATGGATGACTGACCAGTTACATACCATTGAATATTTCAGAATATCCAATGGCATATAATCAGTTGCCCAGAAGATGTGGCATTTAGTCAGACGAAGGGGTATCTGGCAGAAGTGTGCAACTCCAGACACATTAATGCACTTTATATTAACAAGTAACACAATAATAAATGAGGTAACACCAAAAGCAGAGACTGGAACTCCAGCTCTGCCCCTGCCAGCAAAGAATGCCTGAATGACAGGGGTATAAGCACCAGACTCCCTGCTCTCCTGACTCCATGTAACTTGCCTTTTTCAGTGTAAAGAGGGGCCTAACTTCAACAAATACACTGGCAGGTTTTCCTACCAAGAGTACTTAACACTTGGTGGTGCCAGCATATTGTCTTTGATATGGCGTTTCTCACAGAGGGATAATGGTTGGTCATGATAGGACGACGAATGGCTTTTCAAGATAGTTAACCAGAAGGGAGGCATCTCTATTTACCTTTAATGATGGAGCTCATATGCTCAGCTCTCACATCCCAACCAGGATATTTCTGAGCACATTGATGCTTAGTAAAGTTTCTGTGCACAGTAGGATTGTTACAGTTATCCTGGATGTCACAGTCCAGGATACTATGATTTTTGGTGACTTTAGAAATTAAGACATTTTGAGATTAACTGGTTTCAAACACTTTCTGGAATTATCTAAAATCTACCAAAACCCCAATTTGTGAAGTCTATCTGCATACTTCAGATTCAAATCCCATTGCTAAATGGATTTATAATTCTCTTGTTTTTTAACTGTTTTTTAAAAATAATTGAATCACTACTATGATGCTGCCCCTTTGAAAAAATAGCTGATTAGGCTAATAAGTGAAATATAAATTACAAGAATTGCAGATGAAATGACAATTGCATGTGAAACAAAATTTAGTAAGAAAAGCTCATGTGGGCTATTTTTGTTGAAATGCAATTAAGGAGAGGCTATTTAATGTATAAAATAATTTTCTTTGTCTGGCAGATTTTGTTTCAGGCACAAGAAATGCGAGAATGTATGCATTATCAGTCAGGTCATCTAACAATTGCCTTGTGTATTTATTATTCTACTTTTATAAAAAATGACCAAACTAGTAAGTCCTAGTAATTCACACAAATAAATATTTATTAAAAGTATTTGGCAATATTGTCCCAATAAATGCAGTTTATCGACTGGATCAGCTGTCTCCAAATGCAATGAAGCCCCTAATAGTTACTATACCCTTTGCAACTCCGAACTGAATGTGGCTCTGTATCAGACTATTAAATATAATTTAGGTTTAGTTTTTCTGTGGAAAAAAGCATTAAAACATAGCCCTCCAGGGAAGATTATAACCCTCCATAGGACTTAAAGTGCTCCAACTACACAACGTTTTTCTGGGAAGCACTAATTAAGAAATACAAATAAAAGTAACTTCTTTTTTGAAGAATGTGTAAAACATAACTTAGTTTTCTTGCAAATATTTCTCTTAGAGGGGTTTATCTGGAATTTTTACTATAGCTTCCTCCCTTTTTATAGGCAGCAACATTTTTTTCCTAGAAAACAATATTAGGAGCCGTAAGTATGTTGTGAACTGTCTTTTATAAACTTAAAATAGAAGTAATACACCAGGAAACAAATTTGGCCCACAGAAAATGATGATCTTAGCATTATTAGGAGTCTGGAAGTGACTAAATATACTAGATAACGTCTAGCATAAACAGACTACAGGGAAAAGATCCAATTCCATAATATCCTTGATTCTTTTCTCATAAAGATTGTAAAGACCACTACACAAAGTTGACTAGCTAATTATAATAGAACAATTTTTCTATTAAATTTATTGGCGGGCCCACCCTCCAATAAACCCTTTTTAAATCCACTAAAAAGGGGGCAGGTTTTGCCTGTCCCAATCAGCCTGACAAATACTCATTTCACAATGTAAGCAGAAATAATACCATTATTATTCGTGCTAATACAGCTTCTGTCAGCACAGGGCATGGGAATGAGACAATATGTAGACGTTATTAAGCTTCTCCGAATCTAGTCTTAACCATCTTTAATTTCATAAAAACATCATTAGTGGCTTCTACCATGAAATAATCCATGGTTTAAGAGTTTGTTGAATTTCACATACAAGCTGTATAGATATTGTTAAAGAACATGTTACTTTATACATTAAATGCACATGTTCTCACAGTACCATTTGTTCGTGACATAATTTCCATTTATTTCCTTATAATATATCCATATCCAGTTTCTAGGGTCTCTATGTTGGTTTCTTTTCTATACATCTACATTTGTCTCTTATTACTTCTCCTAGCTCTGCTGGTTATGTAGATCCCATTTAGTACCTCTTCAGCTGCAGCCTACTGATACACTTGCTCCTTCTCAGATTCATCAAGTCACTTCCCTTCCCTCATTTAAATCCTTCATAGGCTCAATTCTTTGAACTGCCTATGATAACTTTAGCAACTTTAGTAATAGTATTAAGTATTTAAAAACCAAAACAGTTATCCAGCCACTGTTTCCTCTCAGCTTTGCTCACTGTCCCTATTCAGTCTCTTTTCCCTGGAGTAAAGTTCTTCAACTCAAGGACTGTGCTTTGTGCTGAGCACATAGCAGAACAAGTCTCTTAAAAAGGAAAATAATGACAATAAACATGAGCAAAGGAAGGTGATGATGAGCAAATTGGTAAACTGCACTAAATCTTGTCACGAGATGGAAGTCTCAGTCTTGCCTCTCTGCCATACTGATGCAAGTGATACTAGTGAAATGACCTGGAATTGTCCAGATATGCAGTGACTTAATGAACCTTGCCATTGTCCTCTTGGACTTTTGTTATACCTGCATCTATTTACCACTTTATTTTTTAGTGTTGCTATATAGGCATGGCAAATACTTCTCCCAAGCTGTGTGTTTTAAAATCCAATCTAAGTTTTTATAATTGTGTGGATATTTCATCACAAAAGAGCCTACAAAAATCGTATCACCAGCCCTCTAGCTCCTGAGTCTCTGTCAGAACGGTTCTCTATGAAATCCAGTTTTGTACTATGAAGTCATATGCTTGTTTTAGACTTGTCTTTTCCTCAGTTAACCTCATGCCCTGAATGCAAGCTTTTCCCTAAGGCTATCTATTCAGTTAGCCTGTCAACACAAATTTATTAGGACTTGGGAAATGGACATCATCTTCTTTCAGCAGTCTTCACTAGATAAATCTTCTTAGTTTTTTACAGAATTCTTCACACCCTTTGGTTCCTGAATTGGCAGTAGACACTATTATTGGCATCACAAGTGACACTAGTGTGCTTTAATATTCTGAATCCATGGCTCTCTCCCTGTGTTTTCAGCAATCCTTACAACCCCATATTGCTGGACAGAACAAAGTAACTGTGTCACAATGTTCTCCTCATTCAGTGTTGTAATAAACAAATGTCATCATGAAAAGGGCATACATCTAACATTCATTGTGAATGTCTATTTTTCATCTGTCATGTAAGAGCTCAGGCATTTCAGTTCCTTTGCTTTTGTATTCGCACAGCACAATGTTAGATAATTTCAAGCTGAAAATAATAGGTCAACTATTCCATCTCCCTGCCAGTCAACGATTTTTTATTGCAGTATGTTGATAAATTCATTACCCACCCTTGGCAAACGCTAATTGGTAAACTAGAGTTTTTCTCTAACTGAAAGTACTTAATATGTTTGTGAAGGTGAAAACAAATGCTTCCTCCCATAAAAAAATCTCTAAGTTACTTCAGAAGGCAAATGCTTTAGTTTCATTTAGATACCAACAAATTACTTCCTTTGTCATGGTTAGATCATATTTTTATCCCTTCCTAATTCTTCCTCCTCACTGCTGTCAGTAAAACAAAATCATAAAACCAACATAGGAATGAAAAAAGCATTAAGAAATACATCTCTGAAAAACTAATATCCTTCTGATTTCACTATCTAAAATAATCACATTACAAAATGAAATCTTTATCAAAAACCATACGCTA